TGTGTGTGTGTGTGTGTGTGTGTGTGTGTGTGTGTGTGTATGTGTATGTGTGAGTGTGTGTGTGTGCGTGTGTGCACGTGTATGTGTGTGTGCGTGTGTATGTGTGTGTGTGTGTGTGTGAGTGTGTTTGTGTGTGTGTGTGTGTGTGTGTGTGAATAGACTTAGACTTCCTTTATTGATCACCAAAGGGAAATTATTTATAATTAATATATATTATTTCATTTGCATGTAATTATGTAAAATTATTCACAGATATATATTTTTTTACAGTTGAGGAAAGATCTGTGTATCAGATTCAACAGTGTTTCGCGTCACGAGCATCTCAGTTTGTAATCATGTGTGGTTTAGCTCAGGATTGATCACCGTTCATGCAGATGTTCGTAAACACACTTTATGTGCCAAATTCCAGCAGCTGCACGAATCCTGAATGAAATCCTAGTTTAATCTGAGCTCGTCTTGCACAAATGAGCGTGACAGTCTGCTGGTGTAAAACACAAGGTGAAAGCATTACCTGGCCTGCTTCATTGATGCTGGGAGAGCGCGCAGCTCGTTAAACAGAGTCTGGACATCACACAACATTATTACAAGAGAAGTTTCACATGTGTGAGAGATTTCTCATAATGAGAGACAGCTAAATACAGTGCAGCCCGAAATATCACGGCATCATCATACGTCACAGATCATTAACGAGAACAGCGATGATTACATTAAAGCCTCGCGCTGTGATAATTCTATAAACGTGATTTCAAATCAACCATTCGAATGAACTTGCATGCTTACTTAATCCTAAAATAATACTCGTGCAAAACAAAATGCATTGAAATTCATTATGAAATTCATTAGTTCTACGAATACTCTTCTGGGTTACCATGGCAACCAGGACATCTCAGCCTGACCTGACACACTTTACGACCTAAAGGCACATCGAGAGATCCTCCCTCTTCATTCCCTACTGAAACACACACCTAAGACCCACAGAAAAGGACTTTTCCCCATTAATCTGTAGCCAAAGCTTTCTACAGATGAAATACAGATCGCCAGGTCACTGTGTGCATTATTACTGTTCTTGTGCATTGTCTTTTGTATCGTACACTGTTTTATGCATGCGTTATGATAGAATCAGTAGTTAATGTAACCTCACCTATACCATGTTTGGTATCTATGAATTCATATTTTGATGATCTAAATGCATAATTCATTCATTCATTCATAAATAACAGTGTACACTACCAGTCAAAGGTTTTTGAACAGTAATATGTTTTACAGAAGTCTCTTCTGCTCACCAAGCCTGCATTTATTTGATCAGAAATACAGCAAAAGCAGTAAAATTGTGAAATATTTTTACTATTTAAAATAGCTGTTTTCTATGTGAATATATGTTAAATTGTATTTATTTCTGTGATGCGCAGCTGTATTTTCAGCATCATTACTCCAGTCTTCAGTGTCACATGATCTTCAGAAATCATAATAATATGCTGATTTGCTGCTCGAGAAACAGCTTATATTATTATTAATATTTAAAACAGTTGAGTAAATTTTTTCAAGGTTCTTTGATGAATAGAAAGATCCAAAGATCAGCATTTATCTGAAATAAAAGCTTTTGTAACATTATACACTCTACCATTCAAAAACTTGGAGTCAGTATCATTATTTATTTTTTGGGGGGGAAATAAATTATATAAATTAATACTTTTATTTAGTAAGGATGCTTTAAATTGATCAAAAGTGATGATAAAGACATTTATAATGATCCATAAGATT